ACTAGGGTAGTTCAGATACACCTGTTGACTCTGCCCACTAGAAATCTGTCCCCCATGACCACACCCTATTTCCTTAAATAAAGACACCAACACCCAAAATGGAGTAAATTGCCGAATCGGCCTTCTATTAAACCAAAACCATAAATAACATGAAAAACATTCACAGTTATAAACAATCCAGCTCCAAGAACAGTTGCTGATCCTTGACAACACCTGCTCACACCATTAAGCTAGGTTCTATCCTCAGCCGCCAAACATTGCCTTGGGGTCGATCCTAACTGACCACATTCTAAACTGAACCAGACCAACTGGAGGACTCCTGAGATGGATCCCAGCATTTTACCAATATACCAAGTTTTAGACCCCCGTCAAGGACCCCAACCGCCACCGCGGCACAAGTGTGACACCTTACACTTGTGCCCACCGCCAAACCCGAAAGGCCCACTGGATACCATCTTGCAATCATAAGAAACACAAATCTGTGCCTACAGCGTTAAGATGTACTCCATCCCCTTTAAGGTACAGCCCTGAATCCTTCTCCAATTCCACATGCCAAACCACAAGGCCACCATTCCTAGTTACGAATCTGTCCGCCTCCTTATTCACCTTTATATGGGCCTTATTTAATTGCTCCACAGACCTGGCTCCATGCCAGGAAGTGTGGACCACAATGTCTGACCACACAATGATCATCTCCGGAAAGGACAACCGAAGTCGCAGGAAATCAAATTTCACATCCCTAATGAGCTCTCTCATGGAACTTAAACCCAAATCATTGCCCCCTGCATGTAAGACCAGAATGTCCGGAGGACTATCCAGATGGACAAATTGATGCACCTTGGGCACCACCCGCTGCCAAAGCGTACCCACTACCTTAATCCATCTAACCTTGCCCTGGTCTATGGGGACGCTCAGCTGCCTGCCATTGGGCCTGATATCCGCCCTCTTAGCCCCCAGAATACATAGGAATGTCCGAGTATCCAGATGAGACATTGCGGAGGATCTGTAAAGAAAAAAGGGGATATCTGTGCCTAACCAGACCGTAAAATCTGCAACCAACTACATTAAAAAAAAACCCAGAAGACACACAGACAGAAAGAAACACAACATGCCCACCTCAAGGTGAGGTCTGACTTATATTCTATACCACTTGGACTTTCACCTGCCAATTCTCTTAACCACTCCCTTAGCCAGACCCCACCTTGAAGCCTCAGTGGCTGCCCCTATTCGGAAGGAATGGGAAGAATAATCCCCACTATTCAAACCTGCTGCCGACAAACATCTACGGAAAACAGCTACAAACAGCAACACAGTTGTGTTGTGAAAACAGCAACACAGTTGTGTTTCTTTCTGTCTGTATGAAACTTAGACAACAATTAACCATCCGAGTGTAGGAAAAAGGTCCCCCCATTTCGAGCCGCACCCGCAAGAACTGCTCCACTGTGAGGAAAGGACAAAACCACGGACCATTCCCCCGTAACAATTCAACCTTTTCTCCCTTGCCACCCTGGTCAGTCTTAGATCTATGTATCCAAATCCCCAAGGCAGAGGCTGAACAGAAAACATCCCCCACCTGCAGGCCCCCTGAAACCCGACAGGACAGGCTCACCAGCTCGCTAATGTGGAAAGCACCAAAAAAAGCCACCAAAAGGCAGCCCTGAACAGAATCACTTCATAAAGAGAGAGACTGGATCCAAACGGTCCAGCCCCGATCCCAGAACTGAGAAGGAAATAGGCCATCTAGAATCGCAAGTACGACGTCCCTTACGGTAACCCCGCAGGGCCTGACGCACCACAAAAGACTTGCTGAAATCAGTAGAGCCCAGCAACATAAATAAGAAGACAAGTTCTGCCAGCTTACAATCAACTGCCGATGCAGAGACACCCTGTAAAAATTTACAGTACAAAATACAAAACTAAGGAAGACATGTCCTCCACTCCGGTGCCAACACGCAAAGCACGTCCCACTGAAAATGAGACAAAACATCTGCCACTTGGAAATTCCTGGGATGTGTACAGCATAAAGAAAAGTATTAATTCTAAGTATAATTCTAAGTATTAACTCCTAGATTGTAAGCTCGAAAGAGCAGGGCCCTCGAACCCCTCGTGTATTGTTTTGTTACTGTATTGTCTCAAGTTCTGTCCCCCACTATAATGTACAGCGCTGAGCAAACCTTTCTGGCGCTATATAAATACTGTATAATATAATAATAAGAATAATAATAATTCACAAACAACTCAAGACCAAGTAATGCAATAACCTAACCACAGGAGGGGAAGACGCCGATATGTTATTAATTGCCAATACCACCCCCATGTTGTCACAGTGGAAGCGCACTCTATTGTTTCGAAAAGCCTCCCCCCATATTTCCACTGTCAAGACTATGGGAAAGAGTACTGGCACTCTGCTCGCTGCAGACCTTCCACTAGCTCTGGGCAACGCAGATGCTCCCTTCCGCCCAGCATGATGAACACCCTAAGCGCTCAGTCTCTGACCACATCACAGCTCCGGCGCCCGGCTTTAAGTCATCACCTCGCAACCCACTCTCCGCTCCGGCATCCACGTGGGCAGCCCTAGGCCCCTGTTGAGGCGCGCAAATGCAGTCCCCCGACCGCTGCAACACAGGTGCAGATAAGCCTGCACCACCATGCCGCCTCCCACGTCCTGCAACAGAAGGGCCACACCAGGAGACAGGCCGGCACCCGCCAATGTCCTCTTCCCGCTGGGTCGACCCACCGACCAGAACATCGCCAGTGGATCCAGCCACCTGCTCAGGGATCCTGATGACCGAGGAGGGGACTGAAGATGCAGAAGTGAGAGTCCCCTGCTTCTGGGCTCTGCCTGTGATGGGGATACCACCCGTGGAAGCTGGCAGATGCTTGGCAGGTGGACCTGGAGGGTCCCTACTAGAACTCCCAATGTGGCGCTGAGCCCGGGGGGAGAAATGTCTGAGGAACTCCGGAGGACGAGACCTCTGAGCCCACGTGGTTGCAGGCCCTGGCTGTGGTGAACCTTGCCTTACCTCCTGCAGAGAGGCTGCAACTTGCCTCTGAACCCAATCCGGGCCATGTACTGCAGCCGCAGCTTGAAGCTGGGCTAAGAGCTGGTCCAGTCCACTCATTGTAGTATTCTCTGTGTGTAGAAACGCATGACACATCTAGACAGACGTTCCAGTGACCATTTCCAGCTTCACTCCTCCCCACCAACTACTCTCTCTTCAGCTCCTCCCATCACCCTGTCCACTCCTAAAATCCAGTAAGTGTTCTCTAATTTCATATATCAACAGATACATTAACCCTATCCTGCCACGTTTTCCTTCCACCCTGTCATGTATGCCCTACGCTTATTCTCTTCTTTCAAAGCTCCGGGCATGTCTTCAGGTCCCGTACACAGGGGCTGAAAATCAACTGGTTCAGCAAGAACCAGACGAATTCCAGTCCGTGAGTACAGCTGTCTAACAAAAGCTGATCTATAACCCACTCCTCTTCCCAAAAAACTATATATGCCAAAAGTGGAGGAGGAAGGAGGACATAACGCGGAACTTCCCATTTTGGGTGAAGTTCCGCTTTGAACATGTGCTGAGCAGCATTGACAAGGCAGGCTGAAATTTCATATTAAAAAGAGTATATAAGAAACTGCTTTTCTGACATGGGATAGAATAATTTAGTGCAGGGGCAGGCAACCTTAAAGAGGTGGAGATCTACCTGAACAACATGGGGAAGTCAAAGATCACCGGGCACAGTGTCACCTCCTCACACCTGATTTAACCTTTAATTGCCATTCTACTGTGTCGCAATTGTGTGCATTGCACGGCAATCATGGATTTAAATCAGGTGGTGAGGAGGCAACACATTGCTTCCTCAGCACCTGTCCAACAGACTTGGATCACTTTTCAGGGGAGCAGCAGTGCCTACTGCATTTGTGAATGAGCCTTTAGTTGCATTCAGAAGCAGCACCCTTAGGGCTCGTTCACACATAACGTTGGGGGTGGTAAAACCATGTGGTTTAATCACTGTTTTACCAACCCAATCCCTATCACCTTTAGCTACTGAGACAGCAGCCAAAGGTGTACCCATGCCACAGCAGGAATTAAACCTCCTGTTGCTTTTGATGGGTGCTAACACCTGCCATTCAGGACCCATTTAAGTAATCAGGGCCAGTCTGCAAGCGGCCGGCAACTGCATGCTTCTGTAGCGTCCAAGGGGTTAAGGCAGGTGGTGAGAAAGCAACACAATGCTCCCTGCTTTAACTTGTTTCCTTTACTGCACAAGGTTGCAGGGCACTTGCAGAGCTGCCTAATACTTGAATGGATCATGCTTTGCAAGTGCCACACCCTCCAACCATGAGCGTATAACTCCTGCTGCAGCTTTGACATGTGTACACCCCTGGCCACTGCAGCTAAAGGTTGGGGAGGGAGTGGTAAAAACACATCTTAACCACTTCAATACCAGGCACTTTTACCATCTTCCTGCCCAGGACAATTTTCAGGTTTCAGCACTCTCACAATTTGAAGGACAATTACGCGGTCATGCAAAACTGTACCCAAAGTAAAATGTTATCATTTTGTTCACACAACTAGAGCTTTTTTTTGGTGGTATTTAATCACCGCTGGGGTTTTTTTTTTTTTTGCTAAACAAAAAAAGACCAAAAATTAAAAATAAACACGTTTCTTTGTTTCTGTTATAAAAGTTTGCAAATAAATATTTGTTCTTCATAAATTTAGGCCAAGATATACTGTATTTTTCGCTCCATAAGATGCACCTGACCATAAGACGCACCTAGGTTTTAGAGGAGAAAAACAAGTAAAAAAAATATTCTGAACCAATGGACTGCAGACACAGTACAGGAGATGACCAGAGACTGCGGACATAGTACAGGAGATGACCAGAGACTGCGGACACAGTACAGGAGATGACCAGAGACTGCGGACACAGTACAGGAGATGACCGGAGACTGCGGACACAGTACAGGGATGACCGGAGACTGCGGACACAGTACAGGAGATGACCAGGAGATGACTGCGGACACAGTACAGGGGATGACCAGAGACTGTGGACACAGTACAGGGGATGACCAGAGACTGCGGACACAGTACAGGGGATGACCAGAGACTGCGGACAGTACAGGGGATGACCAGAGACTGTGGACACAGTACAGGGGATGACCAGAGACTGTGGACACAGTACAGGGGATGACCAGAGACTGCGGACACAGTACAGGGGATGACCAGAGACTGCGGACACAGTACAGGGGATGACCAGAGACTGTGGACACAGTACAGGGGATGACCAGAGACTGTGGACACAGTACAGGGGATGACCAGAGACTGCGGACACAGTACAGGGGATGACCAGACTGTGGACTGTGTGGACACAGTACAGGGGATGACCAGAGACTGTGGACACAGTACAGGGGATGACCAGAGACTGCGGACACAGTACAGGGGATTACCAGAGACTGCGGACCTTTGGGGAGGGAGGAGGAGCGGGTACCTGAATTTGACAGGTACCCGCTCCCACTTCCGCGGAGTTGTCCTCCCTTTATTGTGGACACCCGGCTGTGACAGCCGGGTGCCCACTGCGCATGCGCGAGAAGCGCTGCGCTTTGTGAATGGCCCGGTGTCTTCTGGGACCTGTCATGTGTCCCAGAAGATGCCAGACTATGCACAAAGCCCAGCTCTTCTCGCACATGCGCAGTGGGCACCCAGCTGTCACAGATGCCGGGCGGGAAGATGCCGGCGCGGGAAGACTGTTCAACGCTGGACCGAGGAACAGGTAAGGTCCTGCTGCACAGAAGAGCTTAGCGGCTGGCCCGATATTCTAACACGGTGGCAGAAATACCGTACCGGCTGCTCCATATTCGCTCCATAAGACGCACTGACATTTTCCTCCCTTTTGTGGGGAGAAAAAAGTGTGTCTTATGGAGCGAAAAATACGGTACTCTGCTACATTTCTTTGGTGAAAATAACCCAAATCAGTATTTATTATTTAGTCTGTAGAAAAGTTATAGAGTTCACAAACTATATATCTGAAAATTGACCAATCCTGAATTACTGACAGCCAATCTAATTTTTTGAGGCCCAAACATTTCAGAACAGTACAGATATCCCCCAAATTACCCCTTTTTGAAAAGTAGACAGTACGACGTATTTCATAAAAAGCATGGCAAGTTTTTTGAAGTTGTAATTTTTTTGTCATAAATTTTTCGGAAAATGAAGAAATTAATAAAATGATGTTCACAATTTTTTTTACATACTGTCACCAGTGCAGTACAGTGTAAGCATATAACTGGTGTGGCGGTGATCAGGGAAAACTGACTGGTGACAGTACAAAAAAAAACTAGATAATTTGTTTTAAATTTTTTTAATTTTTCTTAAATTATTTTCTCTTTTTTTAAGATTATTTTTCATATTACACTATGACCAAAGTAGTATAATGTTACCATAGTAACAGTGTACTACTTTTGGGTAGTGGTCAGTATATATATATATTTTTTTTTTTTACACAATTTGATTGCTTATAGCAAATAATTGCTTTGCTATAAGCAAGCATTTAACTGAATCAAATTGTTTCATTCAGGTTTTTTTGTTGTGATTTGCTGTGATTGGCCACGGCTAATCACATGACACAGACGGCCTGCAATTGGCCCAGACTGTGCATGTGATCACTGTGACCATTCACAGCTAGACACACTTGTATACAATGGATGGCATGAAAGGATGCCATCCATTGTATACAACTGTCATGTGACCTGCTGTGATTGGTCACAGCAAGTCACATGCTACTGGCAATGGGGCCGGTACACAATCTGTCATCGGTCATGTCCAAGGTACACAGCTGGTGACAAATCTCGCCACAGCGCGGCTCTGCTGGCACGTGCAAAGCGCGATCCAGGAAGGACATCATATGACACCCTCCCGGAGGGACGAGATGTTCGCCTGACCATCATTTGACCGTAGGCTGGGCAGCAAGGGGTTTAGTATGGAATTTTTACCACCCCCCACACTGCAAATGTAAATAAACCCTTACTGTTCTGAGCTCCCTCTAAGGCTGTTTTCACAGTGATGTGCTGCAGCTAACCTGCACCACAGGTGCAGTGCAGTGCATCTGCGACTTTCCTGGGATAGCTGAGCTTTGCCATAGACTTCTATTCTATCCTGCACGTGTGGTGCACTTTCTGAAAGCGCACCAAAACTCCTGCATTCAGGATATAATAGAAGTCTATGGCTAAGGACAGCAGACCCGCATATAAGCTGCAGGTACCCGTGGCGTGGGTAAACCGCAGCGCATCAGTGTGAAAGCAGCCCTGTACTATTATGCCCAGTGTATTGCTTTACACTGAACTGAAGATCCCTTCTTCCTTACTTCTGGCACTACTCTGGAGATAGCTAGCCAGGATAAGAGGTGGAGTGCAGTTGGTATCACTCTGTATGGGACAGGAGCCAGCTCTACAGAATCATTGGTTTATGTAGCTCTTGCTCCCTACTACAGCTGTTTACAAGTAGTCCCTCTGCATTGCACTGTGGATGGTGGCTCTGTAAGCCCAGACCGCGATCTTTGAGTCATCTGGCTGTGATCTACTGGTTGCCGACTCTGATTTAGGGCATGACTAGAATGTTAAACTTCTATTATTTTTTTTGCCCTATCGTTATGATATTATGTGCTATTGACAGGGTCAGAATGTTCTCAATTAAAAAAGGAGTATACTTTCATCCGTTCAACTTTGCTAAATTAGAAATTAAAGCCAGGGCTTTGCACATGGTATTCAACACCTATTTGTTCTATAATGCTTGCAATACGAACTTTGCCCTCCAATGAAAAGCTTACAACTAGAAAGAATTTTTATTGCAGAAGAGATGGTATGTGAAGGTTTCCTATCTTCTTCCTCACAAGATGCTTTAGAATCACAGCTCAGTGTACATTCTTAGTGTACCCCTACCCTCATAAGGTCCACTGTGTTGTGGGTACTCCTAAACTTCTCTCTGTACAGCCAGGCAACAGGTATTTCTCACACAGACATGCATCCAAGAGCCCGTGGGCTTGGATAGGGAAATAGGGGGAACTGAGGAGGTGAGTAGTGAGAGGTGTACTTCTGCTTTGAAATTTCCATTGTGCCCAATCAAGATTTTTGAAAATGTTTAAGCTAGTTTGTGGAAAATATAGAAACAATGTAATGCTGTTTATACTGTATATATACATTCTATAGTTAATTTTTTTAAATTAAAATAACAAATATGTCATACTTACCTGCTCTGTGCAAAGGTTTTGCACAGAGCAGCCCAAATCCTCCTCTACTCAGGTCTCCCAAAAAATGCTCCTGGCTCCCCCCCCCCCCCCCGTCCCTCCAACTGCTCCCAGAGCAAGACACTCAGAACATGGCTCAGCCCTGCCGCCTGCTCACTGGTTTTGATTGATAGCAGCAGGAGCCAGTGGTCTCCATTGCTGAGCCTGAGCCAATGAGGATGGAGAGAGCTGAGAGAGCCTGGGGAGGGAAAGCTGCATACTGAAGGCATAGAATGCATGAAGGTAAAAATCCTTCAGTCTTTAGAAGCACTTTAACATGTAGACTTAGCAAACGTAGTGAACTGGCCCTGGATTAATAAAGCAGAGACCTGTATTATTTTTTTTATTATTTTCACCTTGTCATTCAGTCAGTACTGCAATTCTAGTCTTAGCATGTCAAGGATAATCATCATTGTTTATCAGGACAACAGAAACAAGATAAAACCATAGAACTTCACCCTTATCCTATATGCCATATGATAGATGGGCATGGTTCTGTATTCCTCAAAGATATCTAAATGCAATATAACTGATAACCGCCTGTGCTGTTGGCCTTTTCTGGCTATTATCAGCTTACATGGTTTCTGGTAAAATCAACCAGGGCTTTTCAGTGGGAACGCGGGGGAACACAGTTACGACACCTCCAGCATTGAATGTATGTAATGGCAAGGGATGCTGGGGTGTGCAGGAGGGTCTATAGATGCTGGCTGTCAGGGGATCTATTGTTGTTGAGGGTGAATCTCTTGATGGGGGATCTATTGTTACTGAAGGGTCAATTGTGGGTCTATTGGGCTGGGTTGCTGGCTGCTGGGAGTTCTATTGTTACTGGAGTGGGTCTATTGCTGCTGGGGGGTGGTTTATGTTCCTGGGAGTGCTTTTGTTTCTGGCAGCAGGAGATTCTATTTTACTGCTTTTTATGTTATCTTTAGCAAATTCTATACAAATGACTTAACAAAATGATACTTGGTTCTGTTTTCACTAAAAGGGGTGGTACTGGTAGGTGGTGGAACCAAAGGATGGTGCTCGTAGGTGGGTGGGGGGGGGCAGAGACAAGGGGTGACTTGGAAGGGGAGAGTTCCTGCACCTATTCTCTGAGAAAAAAAAGCCCTGTGATCAAGAGATAAGCTGGCCATAGATGGGTAGAATTTTGAATGAAAAGTCTTAAACAAAGAATGTTCTAAGACACTCCATTAATTTTTGTAATCATTAGTGAGTCAAATTGACATTTGTTTTTGATCGCAATGAGAAAATTTTAAAAAGTAGGAGGGACAATTTTTCTCAAACAAATTTCTTACAGTGCATGTGGTTTTCATTCATCCAAAATCCAAAATCAAATGTTAAAAGCAAACAAAATCTTTAGAATATCATTTAAATGTTCAGAGAATTTTTTAAGTTCTTTCCATCTATGGCCAGCTTTACTGTTTGAGCTTATCAAACAAATTTTCAGGGTTCGGATCTGAACCTGTAACTCCTGAGGTGTCTGGCAGTAGCACTTCTCACTATGCCACCTTTGATGCTGATTAGCTCCCTTCTGATCCCTTGGACAATCTTGCCTTGCACCTTGTTTCTGTGAACCTTGATTTTTGTGCTCCTCCTATGAACATCCTGATTTAAGCCATGTTTCCACATTTCCTGTTTGCCAAATTATTATGCTCTTTTCAGCCAATTTCTCACTCCTTTCACTCCTGCTGCTGTCCATATCTTCACTACCACCTGTAACTGACCTTTGGCTTGTTCCTCGACTAAGATTCACATTGGTCCCAATCTGCAACTATTTTTTAATTATTCTTTTGCTTGTTCTTCAATTAAGCTTCTGCCTCTTCTGCTTGATTCCAATCTGCAACCCCCTTTGAATCTTGATTCCAATCTGCATTCATTTGTTATTGACCTTACCTTTTGTTTTGTTCCTCAACGACGCTTCTGGTTGATCCCCACCTGCTACCATTTGGTACCAACTTTTGGCTTGTTCTTCGACTATGCTTTGGCTTGATCCCAACCTGCAAACATTGGTTATCGACCTTTGGTTTGTTTGCTGACTACGCTTCTGCTTGATCTCTACCTGCTACATCTGCTACTGGACCCCAGCTTGCTCATCTCTTAGTAGAGCAATCCTGACGACCATAAACTGGCACGAGCATGCCATAAACTCATCTCCACCATCAGGAGCTCTGGTGAAGACCCCATGCCTCAGGTGAGCCCACATCATCCGCAAGGGTGACCTGCTTGTGTACGTATCTTGCTGGTTGATGAAGGACTCTTCACTGCTAAAGCTACATCACACAGATTTAATAAAGTAAAATAAAGGAGACCATATAACATAAGTTCATTTTTTAGGGTATACATATACTTTAGGTTTCTTGCACACATACATAATTTATTTCCATTAGAGTCCCAAGGCCTCCAAAGTTTAGATTCATCACTCGTACTCCCGTCACACGCCACTCTGGGGCAACCCAGCCCTTCCCCATCTGTATACGATACGAATCCAGTGGTGTGGGCTCGATATGGCATTACAA